ATTCCTGATGAATGTTGATGCTTATTTTCACAAGCTTAAGGTAAAAATAAGTCAGTCTCCTGTGATTTCTCAAGCATTGGTAGTATTCTCCACTGTGCAAATCACAAAATGTAGAAAGCTTTTGCTCTCTGAACTTCAGGCTATGAGGCATCAAAATGATAGGATTTGGATTAAGAGGAAAAAAATTTGGGTGATTTACTGCTTGCTCCCTTCTTCTGGGTGCCAGAGGAAATAGGTCTGGAGTGTATATGTACTTTACCAGCATGAGAATTTGGAGAAGTATGGATCTATATAGCATGCTGGTGGCATGAATAGCTACAGCTCCTCCCTAGTTACACATTAGGGGCAGCACAATAGTATACAAAAGCAGAGTCTTTCAGTTCGAAGGACTTGTTAACTAAATTCAGAAATAACTCACCTTTGCTAATGATTGCATATTAATTTAGAGAAAAAATTATTTCTAAATCCAAGAAGGACCTTAAACTTTCATTCCCTAAATCTACCAGCCTGGAGCCTAAGGAGATTTTGTTCGGACCAGCCCTGACTCTTCTTGGAGACTATGGTGTGAAGGAGCTCAAAGAGGAATAACAGAAGGCAGCAGCATCTGCATAATCTCACCTCTTCTGCTGTGATACGAGGAACATAAAATTAGAAATAGCTGCAGAGAGTATGGTTGTGGCTTAATGCTTCAGGCCCAAGACTGTAGCACAGCCTTTGAGGAAAGCCCCCTTCACCCATATGCCAGGCACCTCTCAAAAAGCCTCCCGTAAATAGCTTGACAAGCTGGTTTGGTTAATCCTCCACCCCAGGCACACCTGTGCTTACCTAGGAGCCACCAACTCCTTCTGCTCTAAAGCAACGTGAATAGAGCCACCCAGACAACATGTAGGTACTGCTTTTTTGTTATAATCCAAACACAACCTCATGTGCGACAGAATTGTATTTCCCATAGCCAGATTAGGCACGGTAAACCTGCACTTAAAAGGAAATGACTGTGTTTTCAATTGCTTATAACTTCATCAAACTTCACCACAGCTGTGCTGAAATTCTCCACACCAGGTTCTTGCCTCAGGATCTTTAAAATGGGTCTGATCGGATGAAGGATTCACAGTGTCAGTCCCACAGCAAACTGGGGCTGGGCTTTCTTGGTCTTGAAAGCAGGTGATGCTGGTGTATCTTGAAAAAGCATGGTGTCAGCTCAAAAGCATCTGCATGACAAATCTTCAGATGGAAAAAATTTTATTGCAAAAGTAATGACATATCTGCCTTCAGATGCAGTGGGCAATTGGAGATAATTCTTCTAGAGGCAAACCTAGACTCTCTTGTAGCATTGGCTCAATCAGAGGTGTAAGATGAATGATGAGGAAAGAGTTGAAGAATTTCACTTGTTTCCAATAAAAAACAGACGAGTGACTGGGGCTCTTGTAGGTCTTCAATGTGTGCAGAGTGCTGTACTTTGGAAAGACATAAAATACCGCCCTGAGGGGGAGATTGGATGGACATTACAAAAAAAATCCCGGTGACAAAGACAGCAAAATGCTTGCCTAGATTAGGTGACAGGGTGTTAGGACGGAGCTAAATGTGGGCTGGTCTTGTCTCAGTGATGGAATAAGGTTAAATGCCCACACCAGGGGTATGCCAGTTTTTTTTCCAGTGACTGCTAATTCACCAAAAGGCAGGGATGAGGGGATGACACAGCTGAGTATATAGTCATGAAATCCTACGCTGTTTTCAACAAGATGTGATAAAAATTATATTACACACACACACAAATTATATCCTTCTTCCAAACTTAGAACAAACAATAAATTCAAAAGATTCCTTCATAGAGAGCAGGGGAGGATAAAAGCATTGCTCTTTCCTCTTAAAATCTTCACGGAAATCACGGTTCAGTGAGTCATGCACTAGAAATGAGCTCCATGAAATTAATGCACAGAAAAATCTCAGGCAAATAATTGGTGATGGTAGAATTAAAAATAGAGTCATTAATGATAGATGCCTTTTAATGGAGCCAGAGCAATGAGATAAAGGGGTCTTTTTTTGGTCAGGCTTTTCCTACACAGAGAATCATAAATACATAAAAGCCAGGCATGTTGGCAGGCTACTTCGTTCACTGTCCAGTCATATAGGAAGATGAATTGAAAATTGGCTTTTTCCTCCAGTCAAATGCTAAACTTCAGTCTCTCTAAATTCACCAGGACAATACAGAAATGATTGATTCCAGGCAAAAATTCAGCCTGGTATTAACTAACACAGGCTAATGACATTACAAGTTCTCCCCATGTTCTGTAAATGCAGTTCTCCAGGTGAATATAATATCTGTCAGGCAGCGTTAGGAGTCTGAATAGTCAGGGTAGAGCTGCATGTCATCTGGGAGAGCAGGTAGGGACCAACGGAGGGGCTTTACTGGGGAGCACTGCATTTATTCTGCAGCACAAGGACTCACACACTTCTGCAGCTATGGTTTAGCAGCCATCACGGGGGAGGATGGGATTCATCAAGGACAGGAAAGTCCCCACCCTAAAAAAGCAATCTGATGCTAGTGTACTGTCCCAGGAAAGGAAGGAGCAAGGATTCCTTTGTGGGCAGCAGAAATAGGGGAATATAGAAAGCACGAGGAGGCAAGTACACACGGCGTGCCGGAGCTGGGGTCCAAGGCAGCTCCTGGGGGAGGTCATTCCAGTCTGCTGACCTCCATTCCTCCTGCATTCGAAATTACACATCCTATCTTAAGCAGTTGTGATCTCGCCAGCGGGGGATGAGATTTAGAAACAAGAATTGGCTGTGCCTCATCCCTTCCCTCCAGTGAAGCATCCTTAATGAACGTTTTTAAGGCACAGCAAGAACCTCAGGGCAAAGTGTAATGCATTTTTAGGTGTTGATGGAAAAAAAAACCAACACAAGAACAATGTTCCTATGGCTTTACATTTGAAACACTTGCATACAGGAGGCTCAGGATTCAACTGGATAGAAAACACTGGTACACGGAGACACACATTACGCTGCTGGGACCCAACATCCTGAAGATGGGTCTGGACAAAGCAGGAGGCCAGCGTAGGGGAGGGCAGGAAATCCCTGCAGGAGATGAGGCTGATCAACGAGGCAGGCTGACAAGGCTGGGAATCTGATTTTTTCCCAGGAGATGGCACTAAAGGACGATGGCCTTACCGCTGGCTTAGTGCAGTGCAGCGGAGACTTTGCTGGGAGCCAAACTGCTCCTCAGGCAGTTTGCACTGCCGGCTTTGCAAGTCACTCCTTGTTACTAGAAGCAAAGCTTTTTTCTCAGCATCTGTGCTTTTGGCAAGGGTGAGGATATCAGTCTTTTACATGTGCATACCGTAGGTAAATAGAAGCTTTGTGCTTATCATGGCAGGATCC